ACAAAGTAAATGTATTTACTTTGTAAGTTTTTGCTGTAAATAAATTTTAATAAATATTTAAAATAAAAAAATGAGTCGTTTACTTTTGGCTGATAAGGTAATTTACTTTATAGAAATAATTTAAAACTCACTTGATAGCAAATCTTCATTTGACATTGGAAATATTGCGCAGTTTTGTGCTACATTATTCGCGACTCGACTATCACACCTGCTCTCAAAGAGCACTCTTCAACAAACCGGCATACGCGAGCAGTGGAACCACAGTTATGGTTTCCTGGTTGGCTTTGCTTATGACTTCTGCTGCTCTACAAACCAGCATTGGATTGGCTTTGAATAATAACTTGAGCCAATTTTACCAGGTCTATGACCTTTAAATGGAGTTACTCTTCCGTTATCTCTGATAATCTTCTGTACATTATTAAGGAGATCCATCTCTCTCTAAAGGAAAACCACATTCGCACATGTGTATTATCATTCAGTAATTTTCTTCTTTTCTTCTGGATACAGATACGATTGAGAGCCACTCGTTTCTCTTCTGTGCCTACTGACGCCAATCGCAAATGCCAAGTGAATACTTTCAAGAGCTGGAGCGTTTCTGTCCATTCGTACGCCACCACCAAACCAGCGCAGCCGCTGGATTTTAGTTCTCTGCTCTATGTCCATAAGCGGACACAAGGGGTGGGTTTTGGGGTTCAAACCCCCCCTAAAGCTAATAACCTCAAATACAAACTGTATCTTAAAGCTAAGAATCCAGCTCTCAAGGAAATTATAAGAAATATTTATTATAATTTCTGTTGCTTGAAAAAGCGCTTTGCTTTTGCTGTAAATTTTCATGAGGAAATAAATATACGAGCATTTTTTTCTTGAGAGCTGCAAACTGATTTATGAAAATTTGGTAGAAGAAAATTTCTTTTCCATTTCTCGTCCGTCGTTTTATATGAATTTTTCGTTTTTCTTGAGGGTTCAGTTAATTTTTTCGGAACTCGAAATATTAAAAAAATTTAGCAATCGTGAAAAATCACCATCTATCGAAAACCAGAAACCAGAAATCGAAAAAACGAACATAAAAGTGCAAAAATTCATGGAATCAATAAATTTATTTTTACTGACTCTTTTTTAAAATTTTTTATTAGGTACTTTTGAAAGTTGAAAGCATCTTGAGTTTATAGAACTTTTTATTAAACAAGTAGTTTTTAAGGAAAGAACACAACCGACTTCAATTCTCATATACAAATTTAGGGGCACCGTTAATTTCTTCATGATCCAATAATCGGATCTCTAAACCAAATTACGGGACGACCCTTGAGGTACCATCTTTCCAATAAAAAAAAGGATTATTGAAATCGGTTCACGTGGTAAAAAAGTTATGTATTCCGACGAATTGATAACCTCCCCTTTTTTGAAGTCGGTTAAAAGTGTTTGAGTTCTGTTAATCTTATGTAAATAAAGTGCAGTTTATGAATTTTAAAACGTTTATTTATTTATTACATACTGCACATAAAACTTGCATAAATGTATTTTAAAGAGCGTATTATCAAGCAAATTTTCAGTATTTTCCGGTGATATATCTTCAGAAGTATAAAATATCGTTCTGAAAACACCAAGTTCTTTAAAAATCGCGGTACTACTAAATGGAGATTTTAGATACTATTTCCCAACGAATAGTAGTATAAAAATTAAGATCGGCAGCACTGAAAATAAGCATGCCGATGTTGTCAAAATTACAACAAACACGTCGCTACTGACAACACCTTGTTATTATTCCACCATGTTGAGTGAGAACTTATGTATGTATTTTTTTGATTTGAATAAAAAACTAAAGAATAAATATCAATAAATTCTTGCCGCTTATGCAAAAGCACACATAGCGTTGTAGTACTGATGTTTTCAGTCCTGAGGGTTGAGGATCTAAGCCGAAATTGGACAGAGGTATGCAACAAAACCAAGGGTTAACACCAGATTTAAAAAAAGCAAACACCAGAATGTAAAGAAAAAATAACAAAATCAAATTTTGCTTTCAAATATGATCGGCATTAGCCAGCAATTCCACGCTCTTGTAAAGTAATGCCCCTAAGCGATTCAGTTCGGCGGCTCTTATTATCTTCTCCAACATCAGAATAAGAAATCACATGAAAGGGAGTCACTTTGTCTGAAACCTCACTCAATCTGCATAAAGCTGCAATGAAACGCTTTGCTTCTCCAGCTGTTTCCTTGTCCTTCCACTCGCTTATTTTTGTCAGAGTTTCTACAATTAGTCCCAATTCCACAGTAAATTGAATTATCGTGTCGTCCCTCATTCAGCCCTATTCTGCATTTCGACTCGAATCGAAATTTTCTCCGTTTGGCACCTTTGGTATTCTGCGTTCCGTTTCCTTTCGATCAATCTTCGAAATTTACGATTATACCTATTCTACATTTCGATCGTAGTTCCGTTTTTCTAAGTTGCAAATTTGTTGACGAAGAACGTTTCAATTGTTATTTTCGTGGGTTTAAATAATAAAATTTTATAAAAAATTTAAGTAAAATATACTATGCATTATTGTAAAAGTCATAAATGAATTTTCTCGATTTCTGTGTTTTCGCGAGCGGTAATACGGGCAATACGAAAAATTTGCTCTAATAATGGCAACCAAAAGGTATATTGCGCGACGTTTTCAAAGTGGAAGTCCAGGCGTTTTTGTTTACATTATCTATAAATAAGACTGTGAAATGCATTGAATACAATTTATTCTTTTTATATAAAATTAATCGATGTATGCACATAGATACATACATACATAAAATGTGAACCCTGCAAACCATTTTTTCAGAGTATTCTGAATCGTAAAGAAATTTTAAAGAATTCGGAAAGGTCCCATCCGATTTTTTGCCGAATTTTCTAAAATGAAATAAATTACGCACACTTCCATTCTTTTACGAAATTTCGGAAGAAAATCGGTAAAGAAATGAAAATAATGCTGCTATGTGAAGAATTTCTTGCAGACTTTTTTCACAATTTTCTTTATTTTTCGTACAGAAATTTCGTTACGAGTTCGTGTCAACCACTTCATATAATTTTCTTTGAAGATTCGGAAAAAAATCGTTACAGAAATCAGATACTCCTAAAGATTTCGTTAAGATTTCGGGAATTTTGGTTTGCAGGGAAGTTACATAAAAAAGATGCTTTTATTATTGCACTCGTTTTTACTAACTTTTTAAAAAGAGGTGCGTATGTTGTCTCGAATTCGATTTGCTATGGAAAGATAAGCTTTGTTCTTCCCCTCCTCCTGACGGCTTTTAAAATGGGATTCGTTTGAGTTCAAATCTTCCACTCTGTAGTAAATGCAAATGTTGTGGACTGCTCTAAACAACGTTTATAATTTCACTGACTTTAAACGATGAGTAATAGAGTACAAGATGAATTCCTTATGACTCTTCACTCATCTAAAAAAGATAAAACATGTCCCTAAATCTCCGCCTTTCAACTTCCGCATCAGCAATCTGGGACTCGTTCTTCTCTTCAAGCAATAACGCCGCGGCTATGGATTTCATTATAATTATGTATCCACTTAAATTTTATTTTTAAATTACAGTGATGCTAGGTATATTTAGTTATTTTAAAATATTTACAAACTTTAACTTCATGTGCTGCTATGGTTTGCTGCTTTGTTTTGTTTCGATTTCACACATTCCTACACTCAGAAAAAAGTCAGCCAAATATATTCCTCTCAACACATGATTGGGTAACTATAAACAAGTAATGTAACTATAACCAAATCATGTGTTGAGAAAAACATATTTAGTTGACGTAACTAAACTCTTTTCTCAGTGTAGGCAAACAGCTAATTTCGAATGATGTTTTCTGTCTTCCTCTTCTTCTTTCGTTTCGATCGTAACGCAGAATACCTAAGTTCGATTCCAGCGGAGCGGAATGCGGGAACGTAATCGAAATGCAGAATAGGGCTGATTAACGCAAAAGGTAAAATAAAGTATTGTTTCTTGAAATATAGGATGTTCAAAAAAAAGTGCAAAATGTTAAGCCCTCACCACTATGGATTTTTTCTTTAAAAAAAAATTTATATTTAGAACTGCCTGAAAGCTCATGAAATTTTCCCTGAGTTTTTTTATGGGGAAAAAAGTTTTCCGTAGAAATGGCTTAAAATTCTTGAAAATCAATATTTTTCCAGCGGACAACTCTGTTTGTCCTCAGGAGCCTTTCAACAATAACACAATTTTTTTTTTAATACTAACGACTTTTTATGGGTCTCCCATTGTATTTTGTGAAGTTTCTGGGGGACCTATACAATATAATCAATATGGAAAAATAGTTAAATAAACAATCAGGAAATTTCATTAGAAGTCTACTAAAGAGAAACACAGTTTTCCGAACGAAAAATATTGATTTCAAGAATTGTATACAATTTCTACGGAAAAGTGTATTTCCAATATAAAATAAATGGTAAACTTCACGAGCTTTGAGGCAGTTCTAAATATCATTTCTTTTTAAAACCAAAAAATATAAGTCTTCTTTTTTTCCATTTAGAAAATTCCTAGGGGGTGAGAGCTTAACATTTTAAACTACTAATTTTGCACCACTCTAAGCTACATACATACATACTTATTGTATACTATTAGCCTACGCTTCAAGACTTGATTGATGGCAAAGTTGGTGCANTTCCATTTAGAAAATTCCTAGGGGGTGAGAGCTTAACATTTTAAACTACTCCCATGTAATTTTGCACCACTCTAAGCTACATACATACATACTTATTGTATACTATTAGCCTACGCTTCAAGACTTGATTGATGGCAAAGTTGGTGCTAGAGCATTTTAAAATGGATAGCAAGATTAGTGGCTGATATCCTCTGATATATCCAGTGGATAATAAGAAACCCATCCCGAGAAGCAGTAGGAAATCCTCATAGGCTTCAAAAGTCACTTATATTATTAAAAAATATCAATACATGTTTGTATATATTTTACGCTTAAAACGTCTTGTACATAAATACAATTGAGTGGAGCTGCGAACNGTCACTTATATTATTAAAAAATATCAATACATGTTTGTATATATTTTACGTATAAAACGTCTAGTCCTTAAATGCAATTGAGTGGAGCTGCGAACGGAGAAATAGTTCCCCGTCTCTACCATTGATTCAGTCTTTAAATTTCTGTCTCACACATCTCGGCATCGGGAACAAATAGAGCAACATATTAAAGGCAGCCAAACCAACGGCAAAAGCACACGAAGCGGCAACATCAATTGTTTCCTGCAAAAGTACATATACATACACAGATTTTTCTTTATTTATTTCGTCAAAAGGAAACTAAAAATGAACTCATCTTACATCGGGATCAGCCATGCCGAGTCGTTCGTGTAGAAAATCCGTAGGCTTGGGGCATATGACGGACGCGGTGGGTATACAATTCATTTTACGCGATTGGAATGCAATGCTGTGCAACAATGAGGACACATAACGTGTATGTGTGCCTTTTGTATTGTCCTGCAACCACGGCTGCAAACCTTTAAACGAGCGCACCGTACCACTGGCTAAGGATATGCTAATCACGAGTATGTAAGTGACTGCTATGGCGGCATTGAAGGGCACCTTAACAAGCAACAAGAATGCGATGCTCAACTGTTCGGCGAGCACAAAGCTGGACCACAAGGCCACCAGCAAATATATGAAAATGGTGCCATTCGGAAATTTGGGATCCAGCAACAAACTAAGTAGATAGAGAAAGATATGTAAATATGTATATGATTGCAAACATAAGTATTAGAACAGCTTACGGATAAATGACACAGCTGGCGAACATTGCAGATATTAAAGAGAATGGAATTGCAATGGAGTTGTAGGCGATGAGCAGCGTGGCGCCTGAGTACAGGCCTTCGGGTGTATCCTGTGAAAATCGTTTGCGCCAGATTGGAACTAAAATAGAGGAGGAGGATTTTTGAATTTAAGATTTTTACGAATTTCGTTTTGCATTATTTATCTAAGTACATAGTGAGATTGTGCTGAGAATGCCACAGCCATATGCCAAGCCAATAATATTGAGAATCATGCCGTTTTTGCTGAAGAAGCCATGCGAATCATCCTAAAACAAAGAAAAAGAATGAAAAAATGTAATATTTAATACTTAGTACCAGGTTGGCTGAGCTTTGCTCGGAGTGAATATACTTTTTAAAGTTTCCCAGGTTTGGGTATTAAATAGTGTTCATTTAAAAAGCTTCAATTTATAAATATTTTTTTTTATTTATGTAATATTTTTAACATTACGATATACATACCTACACATGTTGGTATTTGATAAAAAATATCAGTGTGTTATTAAATATTTTAGCCTAATAAGCACCTCAGTTTTCATTGAACAAATATGAAAATAAAAAACTTGACAAAAGTAAGTTGATAAACAAAAATATTCTCAATGTTTAAGCCTATTCAGTATCTCAGAATTCTACAAAAAGAATAATTTGGAAATAAATTTTAAAGAATTTGACTTTTTAATGGCCGTTTTCTCAAGTGGTTTTTAAAAATTTGTCTAACTTTTAGACATAAATTTTGTTTTTAATTTTGTGTCTGAAAGGCTGATATATTTTAAATCCTACTTGAGAAAGCGCTACTAAAGCTAATAAACCAAATAAAAATCTTACATTACATTCATACAAAAATTATCGTTGAATTAAATACGGTACAAATTCTTATTAGAAACAATCACGCAGCAAACGTCGTCAAAAATATATGTATTCCGATTAAAGTTCTCAAAAACATCTTTCATTTGATAACCATTTCCTAAACAAAAAATATAATAAATCTACCAATGGAAAGTTGGTGACAACCATTTCCAAAAATATTTCTGAATTGGGGATACTTAAAATGTTTCCTTGTTCATTGTTGTTATTGTTGTTTCCGACAGGGTGGGTGTATGTCGTATCTTGGAACGAATTTCCGTTATCCCTTCGTTCTAGTTCATTATTGTTGATTGCTCGTATTTATACCCCTTATTAACTACTTTCTTTTCTGTGGCAGATACGTCTTCTTAGTTTTGCGGTGCTCAATAGGTAAATGAATTGTTGTGTCTTCATTTTGACGGCAGTCCATGATTTTTTCCTTTGGTTTTTAGCGAGTTTATTTTCTTCTCCTCTCGTATTTAATCTTTGTCCTTTATGTTGTTGTCGTACGTGGAGAAGTTCTGCTGTTTTTTCAATCTTCATTGGGTGCGCATATACATATTTTTAATCATGTGATTCGCGACCGAGCAAACAAGTTTCTAACGTTTTGATTTTACAATAGAATTGTAATGTATTTAGTTCTTGAACCAAAAATCAGGTTAGCGAACTATGTTAGAATTTCATTGGGGAATGATTAGAAAAACACTAGAAATTTTAAACCAATTATAATTCAAGGTTAGAATCCGATAAGATATCTAAACTAAGTCTATAATTCTCGAAAGTTTCTTTAAACGTCTTCTTATCTTCTACCTTTTAGAAACATATTAGTCCGTTATGTGCTCGTCCTTAAATTTCATATTGTTTGTAATTTGTAACTAATTTCAAATAAGTGGAAACCTTGTTTGAAAATTCTCTGACATAACACCTATATAAATAACCTTAGATGGCAAAAAATAATCTGAAATAAAATTTCGTCATGATCGTTAGAACCGTTCTCGAGAAACCTATGGTATATGTATATCGTTACCTTAATATATAGCACTTTCACTTTAAATTAAACCATTTTCAAATTAAGTGAAACCTTTTTCAAATTAAATGAAATCCGTTGCAGGTTAAGCGAAACCATTCTCAAATTAAATAAAACATTCTTAAAATGAATTACACCCAGAAATTTTAAACTGTTTTTATTAAAATTTTTTAGAAAAATTTAAGGTATGCAGTTTTATAGCCTATTAAATTTTGGTGGGCTAAATTGCAAAGTTTAAAACGCCAGAAAATCGCGTGGATATCACTTTTAAAAGTTATTGTGGAGCTATCAATCAATCAACGCGATTTTCTAGTGTCTCAAAATTTACACTTAAACTACTAAATTTAATGGGCTATAAACTGCATACCTGAAATGTTGAATAAAAAGTTTAAAATTTTCGTGTGTAATTGTTAAAGTTTGTGGAATTTTTCATGTACTGCAGGCCATGTAATGTGCTAAACTTTTACAAAAATAAAGTTAAAAACATTAAATAGACAAATGAAAAATAGCCAAAATTGGTCAACATATAGAATTGCTCGTTTTAAGTAACAAGATAAACACATTTTGGTAACAACTTACGCCAACATTTGTGTAGAAGAGCCACATAAGCGCCATCGCCAACGGTAGTAACAGTAGACGCAAAAAGAGTGCCTTCATGCCAGCCATGCCACAGGAGAACGTAGAAGCAAGCAATTTTCTAATTGGAACGGAATGAGAGTATACTATTTAAAGTTATAAAAACTTTAGTGGGGAGATTCTGCAACCAGTTAGCGAAAATTTTCGGGTCGCAATCGCATGATATTAATATTGTTGCGATAGCGATCCGAAAATTGTTACAGCATCTCCCCCTCAGAACGCATTACTTACAAATACAACATAATCCAAACTTTTAGTTCGCCAGGTTTTCCATAGGCCAGCGGTACTTTACCATTGCCCATTGTGTTCAGTGGCGCATCAGATAGGGGAGTTTCGCGTGAAAAACGCTCCACTAAGGCTTCAATCTGTTGGCTGGACTCCAAAAAGCGATCGCGGCTTCTGTAGAATAAAAAAATTTGTTTGCAATTTTTTATAATTCTCAGCACATATGTATGTATGTATGTATGTACCTGCGATCCACGGTTGACAAGCAGAGATAATACATCAGGGGGTTCTCGAGTTGCGGACATGGAAATCCAATACTATGAAAATATTCCAGCATTGCACGCGTACCGCCTGAGTAAACTACACCACCCAGGCAAAGGAAAAGCGCGCGATCGAGGAAGGGAAATACATCGGAGCGTGGCTTTTCCAAGGATAGCAAAATGCCACAACCAGTTTTCTTGGCGCTGTTCGAAAGTATTGATATGAGCAAATAAGCGCTGAGTGGATCTAAATCCTGGGTGGGTTCGTCGAGAAGGAGCATTACTAAAAAAAATTGGAAGAGAAAAATGTGAATTGAGAATTTTGAAAATAAATACATATTTGATTGGTGATTATTTATACACAAAAAAATCCACCACCTGGATTCAAAATTGATTGAAAATTGCGGCCAAAATCATCGTTTAAAAATTTCCGTATTTATTCCATTTGAGTTGTTTTCGAATTTTTTTACTGCTTATTTGAAATGACTCTTTGTAATAAAGATAAATGTGATGATGAAGAAAGAAATGATGAGGGAAAAATTAAAGATAAAGCCGAAAATGAAAACAATGAGAATACCTAATATGTATACATAAAAATTGGGAAATATATCCAGTCATCAGAAATTTAGTTTTCGAATGTTATTAAATTTCTTATCTCCGAAGTTTTGGGTTATCGAAATATATGGGATCAGCCATGTTTAAATATTATCGGAATGTATCGAGTTATTCAATTTGTTATCGAGACGCAGAATCTTAATTGTAGAATTTTTATTTTATACTAGTGAACCCGCATAGCGTTGAAACGCCCAAAATTTTATTTCGAAAATTAAAAATATATTCAAAATTTTAGTCAGAGTTATAAGCGATCCGAGTGCTATATTTCTTCTAAATCTGTGCAGCCGTTTCTGGCTGAAGAGATGTTTTGCACAGTGCAGGTTTTTAATTTCATAAAATTTCAAGCTCTTAGTTAAAAAATAAAACTTTATCGCACCTCTACAGGTTAAGGTCTTTTATTTATGGCAATTCGAATAACGGTGGAAATGAAATGACTATCAAAAAATTCCTTTTCGTATAATATACGTATATACTTAGTTAGTATCAAAGATATTTTAAACTAAAGCTTTCATAGATCTCTTTTGGTTGACACCCATATCTTAATATTTTATAAAACTTGTGTATAATTTTCGTAACTAAATTCGACTTTTAAAACAGGTGGAAATTCCTTTCAAAAGTAGTTTCAAACTAAATCTTCTTTTTAAAACTGATGAACTAAATTGAATTTGATATTTTAAACATGTGGCAACCCCGCTAAATATAGTTCAGGAGTAAAGATTTTTCAAACCCCGTTCGATTGAACCCCATACTTGAATCATTTATTGAACTTATTAAATAATTTGAATTTAACTTTTAAACAGGTGGCAACCTTCTCCCAAACCCTAAGAAATGTTATTAGTGTTAGAACTGAAGCTTTCTTAGTACTCTTTCGTTTGCCATCTATATTTTGACACCTGTGAATAATTTAAATAAATTGAACTCTTCAAGCAGGTGGCAACCCTCTGCAAAATATATTCCAGCTACTACCTTCTGAAACCCTTTTCGTTTTGCACCCACATGGTGCTACATATTTTTCTTGCCTAATTCCCTTAATTTAAATTGAATTTGATTTTCTTAATAGGTGGCAACCCTCATACGTTTGGTTTAAAAATAAAGTCCTTTCAAAACCATTTAGATTGATACTCATATAGGAATAGTTGATTTATTATTTTAAATAATTTGAATTAATTTTTTTAATAGACGGCAACCTTTTTCGAAAGAGTAAAACTTTGTTGCACATCTAAAGGCCAAGCCCTTTAATTTGACATCTCATTTTTGAAAATTGTACGAACGGTGCAGATCTGATGGCCGGGACAAAAAATCCCTTCGCGTATTATATATATAGATGATATTTATTGAATAATCAGTATTTATCGGGTGATCAAAATTTATAGTTATCGTAGTTAATCGAGTTACGGAAATGTATGCAGTTGTCTTGCTGTATCGATATGTTTCAAATTATCGAGCTATCGGTATTTTTGGATTAATCAAAATTTGTTGGCAGTTATCGAAATTGGTTGGTTTATGAAATCAAAGTTTTTGGAATTTTCAAAGTATGGGTGCATTCCAAAACGTCAAAATACAAAGCATCAGGCTGCTCTATTTCAAAACCGCACTAGAAGAAAAATTCTAACTTGGGCAACCTAGTTGAAAACTAGCATCTTACTGAGGTTTAGAAATAAAAGAGACTGAGAGGCATTTCAACGAATCACTTCCAATGAACTCGATTCCAATGAACTCTAAGAAACTATAAAAACGGTCGAATTTCGACAGTCGCTCGCACTCTACTAAGTAATAATTGTACAAATAAAAAAAAAGGAACAGTCCAGCGCCTTCGTCTTGGTCTGCAGGCTGTATCGGAGATACAGCCGCTATATTTAAACGTAGAATACGTGGTATGGTTAAGAGCATATCCAAGTCAAAAACGAAATCACACACTAAAAAAAAAAAATTTAAAATCGATTTTTTTAAAATCGATAAAAAAATCGAGAATATCGATAACAAAATCAGTAACAATATCGATAAAAATTTCGATAACAAAATTGATAAAAATATCGATAACAAAACCGATAAAACTATCGGTGACAAAATCGATAAAAAAATCGACAACTAAACCTAAAAAATATCGATAACAAAATCGATATAAAATATCGATAAACCAATCGATAAAAATATCAATAAAAAAATCTATGAAAATATCGATAACAAACTCGATAAATAATCGATAACAAAATCGATAACAAAACCGATAAAAAAATCGATAAAAATATCGATATCAAAAGCGATAATAATATCGATAAAAATATCGATAACAAAACCCATAAAA